TCAGTCTTCCCGGATATCTAACAAAACCATTTGACACCTTTCACACACCCAGAGGATGCTTATGGCTTCCTCAGTTTCTTCGCATATTCGAAATTAGTAATATAGATTCTACGTTCGACACCGTCAGGCCGCGGCCTATACTCAGGAACAGCTGCTGTACTTTCTAATTAAGAATACGAGTGAGGGACTTCAACAAAAAACTATCATTAACCTTCCTCTCCTTTAATGGCCGGCCTGTCTTTGTAGGCGAAAACAGCGTATGCCCTGCTCCCATTCTGTCCTATTCATCTCCCGTGGCTGACCACAATGAGACCAGAAGCCTCGAGTCACCTGTCCTGAAGGATAAATGGGAGACTTGAGTATTCTCTTTAGTTTGCGCTGTAGTCTAGAGAAAATTTGAGGTGGTTAATAGTGTAGTAGGGAAGTAATAAAAGGTTTTGCCAGTGAGAAAAACAAACCAAAGGCGGTGTAATAGTTAAGCACTTGTGTAATAATTGCTTTACATTTGAACATTTACTTTGGATTTTCTACTACCAATGATGTTCTTGTATTAGAGAAAGCTTACGAAATATTTGTAATCGTAGCTAAAAAAAACTCTTTATTTGTGTAAAAAACGAAATAAATGTTTCAATATCAAAAACGTCATAAGTCGTTTAAAGAAACATGTTTAACAATATTGTCTATTAATAAATAATTATTTATATTTTCAATAAATTCAATTGCAAAATGAATTTCGTAGACATTCCATTGATATAATTATTTCAATGTGCAAATTCAATAAAATAGTTGCTTCTGCTTTTTACATTCGACGATTTTCTTGATGTAGAACGTTGGGAGACAAAATCGGACTCTCACGTCAGGTGTGACATTAAGTTTATTTGTAAATATTTTCGATGGAATAGCCGAAAATTTCGTTATATATATATTATATATTATATATTATTATATATAATATATATATATATATATATATATATATAACAGATGCGTTTGATAAATATTTGACACAGATGCGTTGATATTGAAATGTGTCTGTTTAGTTGTCTATCAAGGAATTACAATTGCAATACCACCAAGACCTCTGATCCTGGAGACTTTTTTTATATTACTTATTTAAGTCGCTTTTCAACTTCTAAGGTCGTACAGCGACCTCTGAAAGTAACATCTGAGTAACGGCAAAGGCAGCGGAACTCGCATCCTCATATGCGGACACACACATGTACATGTTTCGTGTGGGATTCCTCCAGAACCTCCGGCCTTTCAGCTTTAGTGATTTCGGCTATCCAGAGAACATTAGCACATGCTTCGCTGAAGGATAATGCCATTCGGGACATTGGTTAAGAAACACAACATTGTATCACTTGAAAGTTAATGTGTTTATTTATATTAAATAGAAAAATAATTGAGAGTCTTATTACATTATGAAACCAGACGTTAATTTATGCAATTGAAATTAATTCAATTATGTATCAGAAGATCTGATAATGAGTGGAACACTTTAAGAACAATAGCGTGATGTTTACTCTTCTGTGCGAGAAAATCAATATTCATGAAAATACTCTTCGTGAGAAAACGGAGGAAGAGATTTCAAGGAAGAAGAAAAAAACGTAATTCATAAAATAGACAACATTTGTATTTCTTCAACATTGGTAAATGTTATGAAAATTGTTTATATTTTTGACAATAATAAATGTCTTTGTTTTGTTTTTATCACAGCACACGTTTACGAAATATCTGTACCTAACATTATTTACAGAATATATTAAAAAGAAAAAATATTTAATAAAGTTCATGCATTCCGTGAATTTAATAAAATATAATAAGCGGAGTATGGTGAACCTTAGAACAAGATTGTTGTTTTGTATTATTTTCATTCATATAAGTGTGATATGTTTACAAAGTGAGTTTTTTTGACACATTTCTTCAAATCTTATATCGAATAAACATGGACATTAACCTTAATCAGAAATCGCATTCTGTACTAATTGAAAACGTAGAGATAATTTTTAGTTAATAATAAAATTATTTTCTCATTTAAGTGTTGATTGAAATAATGAAGAAATAGTTGAGCAAAACGCAACGTACGGACATTTGCATCGTCAACGTTTCACTGAAATAGTTTAATTGTTCTCACATCACTAGTCAGTAAAGCAAAGATCTTTAGCCAATTTCGCCCATACCCGAAGGAAGCACTTCAGATTCATAACTACCCCAGAAACACAGTTTCAAACCCGGTGGAAGCCCGCCTTCACACACGAAACAGCTTTCGCTTTGAGCAAACAAGAAGCTATTCTCAGCGGAGGCCGTCCCGCTAACCGCGACGGCAGCAACGCGGGCGCTTCCATTACAGTGTCCCAATAAGCAGAAGCTCGTGTTTTCCGCTAGCAACTCGCGGCGCCAGATGGAGGCGACCGCGACCCCTGCGCCGCCAGTCTGGCCGCGCTTGCGCCGGTCTCCGGGGAACACCGGATAATTGAACACTCCGCGCCGGGGGGTGGGGCGGGGCGGCAGCGGGGGTCACGGTGGGCAGGGGGGGGGGCGAGGGGACGGTGAATCCCTCGGCTGGATGGTCACGGACGCGACCAGTGGCTTTGTCGAACTCGGGCTTTCTGTAACTGACACCAGGAGGGTGGCCTGCATGCTAATGCACGCTATTCCGTTCTGCGGCGGTTTGTTTCATACGCTTTGTGTTGTCCCTCCTTCGCAACACGTCAATTTTGTAATTATTAGTATTCGATGTATTGAGAGGAAAATAATGCCTCTCGAAATAATAGAAGTATTTGTGTAATTTGAAAAAGATACGCGCAATTAGCAAATATGAATATATTGGGTCACAAAAGATAATATTATCCATTATTGAAGTAAAATAATTAACTATAATTAAAATGAATGTTTACATTAGGGTGTCCCAATGCATAAAAGAGAATTTTTTCGAGCAATCAGATACGCATACCCTCTATATTTTTACTTTCCCGTATACATACGTATATACGGAGTAATATACGAAGCATAGGGAAAGTTATGTAATGCTGCGCAAAAAACGGAGGATTTTCGGCAGAAAAAAATTAATTGCGATGCCCTGATAACGAAAAAGTGGATAAATCCAGTTGTTAAATTTTAAAATTGTCTTTATTCTGCTTCCCAATGCTTTCTGCTCTAATAATAGGTCGCAAAAAGAATTTCAAACACAGTTTTCCCACCTTTCCATGTATAACGTGAATTTTTTTGTTTTTGACATTATTTTCCTAATAAACTCGCCTTTTGAATTCTAATCAAGAGACCCACCACCTCAGGAATCGGCGCGGATGCTTTGGTACACTAGGTGTCGTTGGGCGTAACCTATCCGCAGAACCACTCAGTCAGAGTCCACCATTAATTCCGTCCGAAATCTCCGATTATCTGTATACGAATGCACATGCAAAATACGAATTACATTGTACATTCATTTGTCGTCATTTGTTGTGACAGTTGATCATAAAATATTCAAAACCAGGTGGAACTGGAATTAGTTTCCCATTTCCTGGACGACAGCACAGAATCACCGTGATGAATTTTCATTATGCGCTCTAAATTATTTCTAATCCGGAAGACATCACATTAAATTGCAATGTATTTATTACTTCCGAAACTAATTACATGTTTAATGCTAGGAATCAGGAGGTAGATACATTTATATCATATAATTTCAAATCTATACTGAATAATTTATAACAAAGAGTACTTTTAGTGTACCAAATGCAAAAGGTGGGTACTGTTATTGATAGAGAATGTTGATGATATTTTGAAATGTATATCTTTCAATTTGTAATTATTTTACACCGAAATATTTGGTGTGTTTATGTGTGCGGTAGGGGATGTATGAGCAGTATTTCTATTAATATTAAATAATAGTTTAAACGAAAAATATTTCAAATATCCAAATATTTTGATTCAACAAAATTTCTCCAAAAATGTAACTACTCACTATTTCACAAAAACAACTTATTTGTAACCCCTTATTAAGATAATTAGGTTTATATCACTGATGTACGAACAACAGGAATTAGGATTATACATTCATCAAATTCTAAAACGTTTTTGTCCTATATTTGGGTTTAATAATAATAATATTAATAATAATAATAATAATAATAATAATAATAATAATAATAATAATAATAATAATAATAATAGGAAAATATTCACAAATGATCTATGGTGTATTCTTTAATCCAGTTAGTAGGCTAAGTAGACTGGACTAATTCTCACGATAATTTTAGTTTTAATGTATTTTAATGTATAAAAGAATACTGTTTCTAACATCTAATATGTTCATTAATTCTAACTGAAAATGTTTTGCCTGTTTGGCCTACATGTAATTATTCTGACACTCATGACCAAATGACTCATTGTGAAAGTTTTGATCCTCTGACAGTCAATAAACTTATCTACCAAAAAGGTGTAAATATTATTTTAAATAAGATTCAACCTCAACATTGGCCTGTAGAACTGAAGAAATTTCTTTGCATCCCCTACATAGATCCAGTATCTAAACGTATAGGCCAATGCGTAACTAAACACAATATTTCAGTAGCCTACAAAACTTTAAACTCCCGCCAATCTTTATTCCGTAGTTCCAAATCACGAATCCCCCATTGAAAGAAGTGGCATTTATCACCTAACTTATAATAACTATAATTCAGCATATGTAGGCGAAACTAACAGAAAAAATATAACTTGTATAATTCTAATATAAACAATAAAAACAACAGGAATTAATACAACTCGTTTATGCTATATTCTTGAGTTTTACTTATTGGAATTGTGAAGGAGGGCTTACGCAAGCGTTACTTAAATATAAAAGGGTGGCTGAAGCGCGTGTAACAGGTGCCTTACAAGGAGGAGAGGAGGTATTCAAAATACTCCAAATTTGCATTACGTAATTTATGGACGGCCCCTGGGGCTAGCGACACGAGATGGTGTTCCGTGCCGTCCTGCAGGAGCGCAACTTATCCGCGGCCATGGCTCCTCCACTGGATAATTATGGGCTGGTGATCAGAGGATATGCTAGAGCGAATTTTTTGGTACGTGCCGAAAATGTGTCTATGGCCCACTTCGGTGTCAGTATGGGGAACCATGGTAAGTGCTGCAGGTGGGGAAGCGAATACAACCAACAAAGTAGGTGTTTCTAGAAACTGGCGAAGAAATTAAAGGGGTTCTTACTTACCTAAGTGGTGCATGTGCATAGAAGCATTGCGACGTGGCGCGTGTATTGAAGCGATAGTTCATTAATTAGCGATTCCGCGCGTGTCAACTGTTAGTCTCGTAAGTGTAGTGCACGCTTCTTCTGGAGGTAGCGGAGATCTCCCCCACTGTCTGGTGTGTCCACCCTAATGGTTGGGTTTTTCCCAACCAGATATCTCTCGCCGCGGGGCACCGCCAAAGCGGCCAAGCTCTAAGCTCCCTAGCGATGTCCAGACGTGTGTGGGGGTGTAGTGCACGTTAGTCTGTGTAAGGGATGAAGGTAGGACAAGGAAGATGAAGGTGAGATCGCGCGCGATCCGTGGCCCGTTTGTTAGGGTACTCCTCCGGCATTCGCCCGGTGTTGATCGGAGAAACCACGCAAAACTACCGATCAGAGCAGCCGGCCGCTGGTATTCTCTTTCGTCCAGCGACTGAATTCAACCTAACTATCTAGCCAATGCCCCCACAGTCTGGTGAGGTCCCCCCTAATGGCTGGGTTTTCCCCAATCAGAGATCTCTCACCGCGGGGCACCGCCTCAGTCGGATCACGCTCTAAGCTCCCTAGCGGTGTCCCAGCACGTGTGGTTGTGTAGTGCACGTTAGTGTGTCTGGAATGGGTGATGATAGGTCAAGGAAGAGGTAAGAAAGATCGCGCGCGAGCCGTGGCCCGTTTGTTAGGGTACTGCTCTGGCATTTGCCTGTCGTTGACTGGAGAAACCACAGAAAACTACCTATAATATTAGCCGGCCGCTAGAATTCTCGTCCGTTCAGCGACTGAATTCAACCTAGCTATCTAGCCAGTGTCGAAATTCCCCACACCACCGGGAGTGGAACGCTAGGAGCTGCTGGGCGGAGGCGCCGCGGCGAGACGCGGGCCCACCGGAGCTTGGTGTTGCAGCCGCAGGCGGCGCTGCCGGACGTGCTGCTGTGGCTGGTGAGCGGCGGGCGGCGCGCCGCCTACGCGCGCCTCCCGGCCAGGGACATCCTGTACTCGGTGGTGGACGAGGAGTGCGGCCGCCACTGCGCCAAGGTGCACACGCTCTTCCTCAAGGTCAGTGCCACGCCCACTGCTTGCGCTCACCCCAAAACGTTTTTATTGTTGTTGACGAGAAAAAAAAGGAATAAATGCAACACGTGTATGAAGTACCTTGTATAAAGTACGATTTATTTAGTAGTGCGCTTGACGTACATCAGCTGTTGCGGTTTCGTCCAATCGGGAGCTTACATGTTGCTACAGTGACGTCACTATGGAACATCACTGACGTCACTACGATTGAAATTCATTGCATTATTTTCTACGTTCAGGTTACGAGTTAAAGAGGGAAATAATCTTGTCTGTAAAATGCGCTCTTTACCCGTTAGGGACTGTTCTTAGCGTATAGGGACTTTTCAATTTATTCGACCTGTTTGCTATATAGAACAATTAATTAAATGATTTAATAAAAAGGTATCACAAAACGACAAACAAGGGAAAAAATTGCGATTGAAACTCATAAAAATGTATATAAAAGACAGAATTTAACTAGAAAATGAACTTGAAATAGTAATAAATAGAAACGAACAAACATAATTCATATCTCCGTTGTTTAATAGATTAAAGTCAAATATATTATCGTATGAAGCCCCTATTCCTCGCTACGCGCCGCTACAGCTTGCACGCGTACACACTTGGAGGAGAAATAAGGGCAGAGTCAGGGGAAGTGCTTGCTGAAGTGTCAGGCTTCCCAGACATGCAAGTAGTTAACGCGGGCGCGGTTTGACATACCTGGTCTACTGAATATTAAATTTAAGCAAATCCCAAACGAGTAGAAATATCAACGATTATGTAGGGCTGAGTTGGACAGTAGGGCTGAGGGCGCCAACCTGCTGGGTGCTTCAGCTGCCGGGCCGGCGAGGGCTGGGCCCGGGCGGCTGGGCGGTGCAGGCCAAGGTCACCATCTACACGTGGCTGGGGCTGCTGAAGCACAAGAAGCACTACGTGGACGGGCTGCCCACGGGCTACGTCGAGTCGCACGAGCTGCGCAACGCCGACCGCCAGACGGCGCTGCCGCCCGCGCACATCCGCTACTGCGACAAGCACGTGAGTTGTCTTCTTTCCTTCGCTTTTACCAAGCACGTGAGTGCGCGCGCAGGCGCTTTCTTCTTCTTTCTCTTCTTTCCTTCACTTTTACCACTATTTCACTCGTGAAATTAAAACCAATAGTGTTTAACTATACATTCTCCATTCATGGCGGTGTATCTCAAAAAGGATATCGCCTTTTCTATACGATTTTTCTTACCGCTTCACCCTACGGGCCAATCATACAATGTGACTCATCTATCTTAGGATACTATATGCTCGAACGCTCTGTCGATGTCCAATAAACCTTGTATGTACTACGAGTATAACCTCTTTGATTTTAACATAGCTTTTTATAGTTATTTTCAATATTTTGCGCGTTTTGGAACACTGTTGGACATAATTTCATTCGTGAAATAGTAATAGCTAATATCACGGGTGTTTTGGAAATTCTCAGATAAATACCCTTCTCGCTTCGTGAGTCTGGAATTTCCGACAATTTCTAAAGCACTCGTGGTACGTATGAAAAATCCTGCCAGTCATTTGATTTTCTACTTTTTTCTTTCTCAATTCCTCTTTCTTCCTTTACTAAATATCTTCCACGGTTTTTGTGTTGTTTGTCCATTTTAATAATTACATTATTCTGAGAATCATTTTTACATTCGCGCACTTAATGGAACTTCTTAAGAAGAGAAAGCTATGTAATGCTCCCCCAGAAACGGAGAATTTTCTGCACAAAAGCTCTTAATACAGTGGCCTGGTAACCAAAAAGTGGATAAATCCAGTTTTATTCCCCAAAAAACAATTCTCTAACATGTCGCCATAATTCGTTTTGTGTCTCCCTGATACCGAAAAATCCATTGACGGCAAAACGTCTGTCTATCTGTGAACCATGCAAGCGGCTAAACCGTTCAGCTGATTTTCTTCAAAATTGACATTCCCCAATCGATCTAGTTAAAGTCTCGGTCCCTTCAATTTAAAACCGATTTTTTTTTTAATTTTTGGAGGGTACTTTATATGAAACTCCCAGGACATTTTCAAACTTTTCAAAAAATATCGCCATTGATTTTGATTACATTTTTTGTTGTCTGAAAGACGTGAAAGGAATGTCGAAGTCAAATTTTTTCGTCGTCTTCCATCAAGTAAAATATTAAAGACGAGCGTTTTTTCTTAATAAAATCTGTTTCTTAAAGATATATTTTAAAATAAGCTATTGTACAATTTTCTGAAATTTTGAGAATTTTTCGCGTAACTTTGCGTGAAATTTAGGCAATTTTTAATTTTTATTTAAATATTTTTATCAAAAATGGCTCCATCGCTTTTGTTAAAAAAAATTTCTGTGCATAGTCTGAAAAGCGTTTAAGAAAATTATGCAGGTATCATGTTGGTTGAAAACTCTGTATTTTCGACAATTGAAAAAATTCAAAAATTGTTTTCGGCGTCTTCTTACAACTGTAACTATGAGAACAGTTTTCTTTAAATGAAGTGTGTTTATCAAAAACATGTTCATATAAGGTCATGTTGAATTTTTCGAAATTATGAATAGTTTTTGGAGTAATTGGCGTCAAATTTAGTCTCCTGCTCTTCCTTATCGTAATTTAGATGTTCTGAGGCCGTTGGAAGCTACGTAAGTTAAAATTTATATATTATTTCATATTTAATTTTAATATTATTATTTATAATATACTTCAGTTACTTCATTTTAATAGTCATTTAAATGTGTTCAATGGGAAAACGAATAGAAGAGTGGTCATTCTTGCTTGTTGTTACCCAATGTTTTAACGTCACACTGATAACAAGGTAATGACGGCTACTTTTCATTCACGGTAATGAAAACTAATATCTTTATTTGTAGAATATTACAATACAAAAGTTTTTAAAATTTTCCTACTATTACTTATTTTTCGATCTATTGGTCTTCGAACGCTATCAGTTTCGTATTATTTAACTTTTAAATATATTACTTTCTCATACTCTGCTTATTTTTCGCATCAAATGTTCTACGATTTCAAATGAGTTCTGGCAAAAATAATTTGGAGAGAAATTGTGCTATAAATAACGTTACATAACTATTAAAGATAAAGTACGTGCTGTTTTAGCACCATTAGTTAGCACCATTAGTTTTCAATGTTCATCAATCTTACCCGCTTTCTCTTTTTCATTATTTTCTACGATTTGGTGAGTCCCTTTTAATTTATTACTTTTGAGTTGTCAGAATAATTCTGTGATAAATAATGCGTGAGTGACTCACGCTGAGTTTGCAACATTTATAATAAATGTGAAGCATAAATTAATTGACGAGTTATTTATTAGAACACGTAAGTTTTCACTTATGATTCATAAAGGGTTTTACGAGGAGAACTAGTGGAAAATATTTGAATTTATTGAAATAATTGTCTTGTATTGAAAATGTTTGTTTATTTCTTACATTACAAACACATTCTTTCTTTCGTACAAAAGCAGATAACTTTTTTATCAAATCAGCAAATATTATTTTATACGTTTAGTCAGTCTAGCAAGATTGATAGATAAATAATCGTAGAATAGGCAGTCCATATCTTGGTAGAGAAGATCCACGAGAATAAAAATATTTAGATTATTCAGAAATATAAAGTAAATCATCAGAAGCATCCTACAAATTGTACTCACCAGACTGCGCACGTTCTGCTGACTGGTGATAACTCTTCTATAATTTGTCTTCTCACCGCGCTTCTCGAAGAAACAGGAGGAACATTTTTTGAGCTCCATTTCCCAAACCGCGCGAAAAGACTCTTGGCCAACTTCATTTGGAAGCTCGAACTTTCTGTAAGTTAAGATGTTCATTTCGCCAACAGCTCCTGCGTTGGCGAGGGTGGTGATATCTCCTCTTACAACTTTAATGGCACATAAATACTCTCGGTTCTCGGGTTCTAAAAGTAGTACTAAAACAGCACCTTTTTACTTCCTACTTTAACTGCAGTTCATTCATATTAACATTCTGTTAGAAAGTGTCAATGAAATTTCAAACATTTAAATGAGTAGGAAGATAGATATCAAGTACGTATTTCTCGTGTTTCAATGTAGAAGAGTATATGGACATCAAAAATATTTTTTTAGGCGGACACTTGTAAGAGCGGTTCTCTCTGAACGTGCTTAGCGAGCTAGTAGTTCGATTTTTAGTACTAGTGGTAAAAGTGAGACCATGCTCAAGAGTTTAAATAAATCTGTGAATGTAGCAAAGATGACAAAATACTTTTGTCTGACCGCATCCCCAAGTACTGACAAATAATTAAATGATTTGTATACTTGAATAAAAATAAAATGAAAGTCAGTACGGCGGTCTAAAAAATAGTGCATGACACTAGTAAATGTGATTTTATTTTTCACGTAGAACTGCACCACTCGGCTTGTCAGCATCGTGTCGCAACCTTTCCTAATAAAATGTCGCTTTTACCACTCGTATCATAACTATTAATTGCTGTATTTTTAAACAGCAATAGCAATCTCTACTGAAAGGCATAACTAACAATGTTAATTCAATTTTGTTTAGTATACGCCTTATATTATGTAACTAGCGATCTGTCTGGAAAAAATGTAATCATTAAATTCATTCCTTCAACGATGTCTTTGTTGGTGACGAGGTACAGTTAATTGATTCTGCATTTCTGCCTGACCCCTTTCAATCGTTTAGTGTGTAATGAGTAGGAGTTCATTCAAAAATAGGCACGCTATTAGGAACAAGGGTTTCTTACAAATGTGACAAGATTGTAAACGATGGAGGAATGTGTTGATGGAAAAGTAATGTTCCAGCAGCACTTTTGTGATCGTATTTATTAAAATCAAGTTAAAAGTAAATTTAAAATTAATCACACATATATTCAGAGATTAAATTTGAATACTCTTTGAGATTTTTCCAAAATTTAGCAAAAATATTGTTTGTAACTCAGCAAGTGAGGAACAGTTTGATCTTTTCAACTTTTTTCAGAAAGCAGTTAAAAATATTTTTACTGACGTCAGGAAAAGACACATTAATTTATTCGAACTTAATTATCGCCTTCTATAATAGTGTGATTGTGTTTAGCCCCACTTACAAGTATCTTATTACTTGTAATTATAAAAGAGTTTTGACAAGAATGTGTTTTACTATAAAAAATGTGGATACTTTACTACAAGAAACAGATTCATCACTTCGCGAGCAGTTTCTTACTTCGAAAGTATTTTTGAAACTTTTTCCGCTCATGCATCATAAATGAGTTTCGGCGACGGTATCTTCGTAAACTAGGATACTCTATCCAGTTACGAAGTTTTATCATACTATTTAAAAATAAAAAGGAAAGACCAATCACTGCAACTCAATATTTTTTTAAACAAATGGAAAATGTTATTAACTTCTAACACTTCTAGGAACGGTTTTGTTTCGTATTAGGAGTTTCACAACATTTAATATTTGATTGCAGATGAAAGTGGAAGTCAATAGCAGAGTTCTGTAAATGCCTTGAGCTCACTTTGCATTATTATATTATTTCGTGTCATAAATTAGGTTTTAATTGTTCATTTCTTTCGTTCATTGATAATACGTTTTAAAAAATCTAATGAATGGCCCTTCCTCACAATTAACATTGAAGTTTAGAGATTATTCTGCATTTCAGAGCTCAGATGTGCCTATTCCATTAGCAACAACTTATTGTAAAAATTTTATGTCATAAATCAATTATTCAAAAGCATATTGATAACATTTTCCTTATAATGATAAGTCAATTCGGTATGATGATAAATATTATTTATTGTGTTTCTGAGAATTAAAAATGGCTCATTTTTATCAATCAGACGAGAAAATTGACATCGGACGGTCGTTAATTTTTAAAACAATCTAGATAAAACAATATTAACTCTTGATAAATCACGTATTGCTTCAATTTTCAATTATTCCTGCTTATTGCCAAAAAGCCTTCATTTTCACTAAATGAAGTGTTGACAAATACTCTCACCAAATGAAGATGAATTACAGTATAAATTAATATTTTTAGTTCCCAAAATTCAAT